CTGTGAGTTGTATAACTGTTATAAAATATGCAAAATATCTGTAGTATGAGTGCTACTCACCAGAGGGTGCATTGCTAGGCCGCCATGAGAGGCAGAAGTTGTCTAGAAGCACTTTGTTAGGAACAATAACTGGCACCAGAGGACGCTACTGTTTTAGAGTAATAGTTCCAGGAAGTGGTACCAGAGGGTGCATTGCTAGGGACATGCTGGTAGGCCACCATGACAGGTGGAAGTTGTCTGCTGCTAGAGGATATGCTGTTAGGGCAACAAAGTGGCACCAGAGGGTGTATTGGTATAGTGAGAGTGCAAATAGGTCAACATGATATTAACTTCATAGTAACAAACAAAGTCTTAGAATTAATAATTTAATCTATCTTGCCTAACATTGTGTTTACAGTTTTCCTTTATAAGTAAAACATTAAATACGTTTTACAAAGGCGGCCTGGTATTTACCTCGTTGATATTGGATATAGCAGATATAGAGTGATTGATGTACTATTATATACTTTTTCTATTTTTACATGTAAGTTCTTGCTAATAACTTTACAAATTACTCGAAGTTTCTATAATGTTCCAACATTGGCTAGGATAAATAACTTGAAGTTGTGATGCTCTATGTGTACGTATGATAAACAAAAATTTTGCAATTTACGTAAAGTGACTAGTTATAGAAAATATTGTTACGAAACATATTACACTTTAAAACTATTTTATCTCATACTTCCACATAAATTATTTGTTAAAGGTGATGTTTTATTACAAATTTAGGACAGTTCTTATATAATATATTTACTTTTGTTGATAAGTCGTCAACTCATCTGTAATTAATTTGTATTCATATATCATACAAATATAATACAAAATATACTACAGGCTATGATAACACTACTTTTTACGTGATTTCTTGTTTTTTTGGGTACCTTAGGTGTGAAAGACCAAAGGACATCTCCTGGTTTATGTATAATACCTGGAATATTTCTGACTTTGAGGTAAACAGGTATTAATTGATATTTACATGTTTTCACACCATCGTTATATCCTTTAGATAAACAAATCGTATTTTTTCTCAGATACTTTAACAACATAGTACTACATTACGTATTTTTCTCAACGCCCCCAGCGGTAATTCTCCGCGCTTATGACGGTAAATATCGAGTGGTAAAGAGATAGCGCAATGTGTACCTTTACGCTTAACAACAACCAAACCTACCCAAATTGTCAGATAGTTTAACAGCATAGAACTATATTATTTACTTTTCTCAGATAGTTTAACAGTTTTTACTGTATAACATCTTTATTTTAAAATCTCAACTCTGTACAAATAAATTGTTTAAATATCTAACTCACAGTGTCTTTAATATGTATAACCTGGAAAGCCAAACTGAAGTGGTCGTTAGGTCTTGAGAAAAGCTTTTAACCAGTTGAATTATATAGTATTGATATGTTTATTCACTCCTTATACAAAGCAAGCTTTTTATGATATTTTAAATCATTTCAATGAAGTCACAAAATATATTTTGTTTCCGAACCTATCCGAATAATCAAGAATACATTTATAGCATCATGAAAGTATATTTTCTTTAAATTAAGTGTAGCAATGGACATTGGAGTTATCTTAGTCAATACGTTGCAAAGTTTTCATAAAAACAACTGAAGTTGAGAAAATTAAGAAAAGATAAATAGTCACAAAAAATACCATTGTCCTATTATTGAAATATTTAATAAATTGAATGATTTCGTATTCAGAAAACTGTGATAGAATAGAATGCTATTTTCCCTAATTTTGTTTCCTCGGTGAAAGATTCAATATTGCGTTTGTGACCCCTGTATACTTATGTCACAAATATTAAAATAAAAATAATTTCACTGTATTGTACAAATTATTTAGTTTCTTTACAAGGATGTCGGGTTATGTAACTTTAAGTTAAAAGAAATGTACATAGGTCTAAAATATGTAATTTTTGAATATCTGCGTATATACCTTGGAAAACCTGAAAATTATCAAGCTGTGTTAACCACTAGCTAAAATACTTAAATACAAAATAGAACATTCTTGCAAACGAAACTGATACATGGTTTTTTGTGAATGACGATGTGACAGCTGTGCGTGTTTTTTATACTTAAATAATATGAATCTGTAAATGTAGCATTTGGTTCTAGAATACAATATATATACACACACACCAATTGTCTATATCCAACTGATTGTTCTCTTTGATTCAATTACAGGTAAGCAATGAATAAACACGTTGGATTTTTTATACTATCATTCGTAAATTTGTATTTACTAAGATAAAGGCAGGACAATAGGTCTAGCTCTCCAATGTTATAACTAGACAGGCTAGAGTCAGTGCTACTGTAGTTAAGTCAAATTTACAGAACCTTACTAATATTTCACAAAGTTTCTTTATACATGTGCTATATCAATATCAATAATTTACAATTAATAATTTTGCACTTTGTTTTTTTTTATATAAAGTTATCCGGTAAAAAGTATGAGGTTAGAAATTTGGTGTGAAGAAAATGGCTCGAGCGTGTTATGGGAAATCACTAGAAATCGTGAGTTTTTTGTAACAATAGTTTAGAAAGTACGGTTGATTGTAATTTTGTTACAAAAGTTATAGTCTTTCTATTTAGAAATTTACAATTGAATGTTATACGACACTACAACAACATTGTTTTATGATTTTTTGTACTCAAGCAAGCACTAAAACGATATTTTGTAAACTTTAGCAAAAACTCATCCGTCAGAGGGCTAGCGATAAATTTACTGACTTACAACCCTAAAATCCGAAGTCTGATTCCCCTTGGTGGACAAAACGCAAATAATCTATTGTGTAGCCTTGTGCTAAAACATAGAAAGGTAAAACCTCTCAGCAACATCTGTTTGTCATCTAACACCCCTTATCCTCCTCATAGTTGTTTCTCTTAATATTTGCTATTATGCTATCTGTTTGTCATCTAACACCCATTATCCTCCTCATAGTTGTTCCTTCTATATTTGCTATTATGCTATCTGTTTGTCATCTAACACCCATTATCCTCCTCATAGTTGTTCCTTCTATATTTGCTATTATGCTATCTGTTTGTCATCTAACACCCATTATCCTCCTCATAGTTGTTCCTTCTATATTTGCTATTAT